CAGTGGGGTGTCGGGCCGGCAGAATGTGCCGGATGGCGGCGGATTGGGAGCCGGCGCAGGGAGCCGCGGGAGCGGTGTTGACATGGCGGCGTCTAGAGCCGGGGGGGAGGGGGGGACTGGCAGACCCGCTGCATTAGCCGAGGCGGCGGGGGGGACTGGCAGACCCGCTGCATTAGCCGAGGCGGCGGGGGGGACTGGCAGACCCGCTGCATTAGCCGAGGCGGCGGGGGGGACTGGCAGACCCGCTGCATTAGCCGAGGCGGCGGGGGGGGTCTGGCAGCCCCGCTGCATGGGCCGGGGGGCGCCGGTTCCGCTGTGACCCTTCCCCCATTTCTCCGCCGGAGGGTTCGGAGCCGGGGCCCAGCCGCACGGAGTCTCCCAGCGTCAGGCTCTGGCTGGGAGAAGAGGAGTTGGGGAGTCGGGCAGCCTTTGGCCCCACGTGCTGTGCGGAGCCGTCTCTGGCTGCACCTGCTGCTGATTTGCTCCATCCCCAGTGCGGCCGGGACAAGGCCCCGCTGCTAGATGCCAAGGGCTGGGTCCATCCAAACGTGCAGGGCCAGGAGGGTCAGTTACTTATTGATCGAGTGTGTTTCGTCGAATTTGTACAGTGGACGCTTCAGGGAGGCTTTTGTAAACGTATATCAAACCCAGAGACGTAACTTAGTCGTTTTGGCAATTAAAATGTTGGTGGGTTTGTTGGATCAGGTGCTGTATATTTTATCATCAAGAAATGCTGGTAAATCAAAGTTCTTGCTTAATATGTATCTGTAGTAGAATTGAGCCTTGGCAAGCAGAACTATACTAAAGGTGTTCATAAGCATGGTGATAAGTAAACAAGCTTGCATTAATTTGGAAATGCATAAATTACAATAGTTTATTGCAGTTTTCATTCTCTGGTATTTGAAGTATTTGGAAATTCCATATCAGTTCTGTTGTACATGATAAATATGAAGGAAGAGGACCACATTTTAAACCAAGATTTAATCTGAAAAATGAGAGGAATTATCTTTTTATTTTTCTAAATTAAGGGTCGATCCCTTCTCAAAGAAGGATTGGTACGATGTCAAGGCACCTGCAATGTTTAATATCCGAAACATTGGGAAGACACTCGTCACCAGGACCCAAGGAACCAGTGAGTATCTAGTGTGTTGAGAAAACACTTGATGTCTGTTAATTTGTCTTGCCTTTTAAGACCACTGCAATTTAGTATCAGTTGGAAGCAGTTCTTGCTTAAACTAATGTGATTTACAAGATTATAGGATAACTAGACTTTAAAAAAAAAAGTGTTTTGACCTTACTGTTGGGTAGCTCTGAGTAGAATTATGTGTACACACATGGTTTGGTCCATGCAAGATAAACAAACTGTTGACCCGTGTAGGGGTTTTTAATTGTAGCTCTCTGATCACTGAAAAAGGAGCATAAAATATAGGCAAGGAAGATCTGGAAAGGAGCAATGCAAAAAGGTCTTCTCTCTATATATGGGTTTTCTTTATGGTAGGGTAGCGAAATTGCCCATTTTTGGGCAGTAAATGTGCAGTGGTATCACTGAGTAGAGCATCACGCCCCCCTTTTTGATTTTTGAATCCCCCCGCCCCCCAATCCTTCACATGATAAAGTGAGACCATAATTGGAATACTACATTTAGGTAAAAGAATCCCAGTCACTTCTGTTCAGAGATGAATAATAGAATCTGGGTAAGAGTAACACAATTATGAAAATGTTAAGTGCAGCTTCACCAACATGTTCAGGAGGGAGTTACATATTTTACAGAATTTAAATATCAGAGGACACAAAATTATTTAGCATGATTAATAGGCATAATGAGGAATTAAAATTAAGGAGAAGAAAACTTTGGGCTGCTTATGATTCATAAAAAGTGAAATCTGGTAGGTCATGGAATAGTGTTCCAAGGTAACTGGAACATGGAAAACATACTACAAAGGACAGTTATTAAGGCATCACTGTTAAGCAGCATAATTAAACTTGTAATTTGCTCCTGAACTTCAATTTTTAATCATTTATATATTTAGCTTCTGTATTGTATATTGAAATGTTTATATAAGAACATATGCCTAGTTCTTACTTTTTTATGTTTACTTTCCTCAACAGTGAACCCCAGTACAACATTGAGCATAACACCTACCTGCCTTTTTAAAATGTTGACCTTTACAATTACACTGAATCTTGAAGCCTGAACATAGTTTATTTCCCAAATGATATTTTTCTCCCCTTTGTGTTGAAGCTTGACTAGTTCATTGACTACTTCTATTACAAAAAATTTTTCTTCAACAGTTTGACAACAGTAATTGTCATAATTTTTTGTAGATCTAAACTTAAATTAATGTAATGTGTGTTCAAGTCTAATTCTAATAAAATATTTTATTTCATAAGTCTTATTCAAATTTGGCTCTAATATAAATGCATATCAAATGAGAATAAAAATCTGACACGGCTATTTCTCATTTTTTAACAAGAAGTGTTTTCTATGCATATAGAAATTGCCTCTGATGGACTTAAAGGCCGTGTATTTGAAGTGAGTCTTGCTGATCTGCAGAATGATGAAGTTGCTTTCCGTAAATTCAAACTGATTACGGAGGATGTTCAGGGCAAAAACTGTCTGACCAATTTCCATGGAATGGATCTCACCCGTGACAAGATGTGCTCCATGGTCAAGAAATGGCAGGTAAGTGGCAATGATGTGTACATGAGAAGCAAATACTACCTTGATAAATACTCATTTGATAGAAAACTACCTGCCTATACATTTAAATAAAATAACTTGATCTTTGATGCAGTTTGCAGATTGATTTTTGCCTTGGACAAAACTACCAGTATTATGTATGTTTATTGGTTGGTGTTTGCTTATAGAGGTAATTATTGTTGCCTGCAGAGGGTGTCTAAAAATGTGCATGCACAATTAGAGAAATCATACATAATAATTTGAACACGTGGACGTCAAGCTTAGTTTTAAAAAAAAGCAAAATTTTTCTGTAGTCAGAGGGCAGGATTTTGGAGGGCAACTTAAAAAAATAGAACATCTTGCCACTTGAATCATAGTTACTCTGCTTAAATGCAAACTTTCAAAATGTAGAACGTAGATATCGTTCTTACCACAAAATTTAAAAAAAAAACAGAAAATGTCTTCAATGGTGGATGCTAGTGTGCTTGTAAAATTAAATAATTGATGTTGACTAAAAACAAGGTAGAATTTTATGGGCACTAAGTTGATCTTGTTTATGAAGGTGGGAGCTGGGGTGTTCAGCAGAAGTGCCAACATAAGAGAAGGGTGGGAAGGGAAAGTTGGTATTAACTGAGGAAACACTTGCTAGGAGAGACTTTCCACTAATAGTAAGGGTGGCATATAAAATCCCAGCCTGGGATGGAGGAAGTACAGTATAAGGGTACGTCTAGACTACATGCCTCTGGCGACAGAGGCATGTAGATTAGACTACCCAGCATAGGAAAATGAAGCGGCGATTTAAATAATCGCCGCTTCATTTAAATTTACATGGCTGCTGTGCTGAGCTGATCAGCTGTTTGTCGGCTCAGCGCGGTAGTCTGGACGCTCTGCGGTCGACATCAAAGGCATTTATCGACCTCACAGGTATGCCTCATAAATCGCCGCTTCATTTTCCTATGCCGGGTAGTCTAATCTACATGCCTCTGGCGACAGAGGCATGTAGTCTAGACGTACCCTAAGAATCAATGCCTTTGTGTCCTCTGCTAGTACTACTATAGCAGTTTCTTTCCTTCATTTAGTAACCTTTTTAAGGGGCCACAAGTGGTGCTGTTGGTGTCATCAGTGCCCTTCCAAACCTTACCTAGGTATTGGAAGGGTCAGTAGTAGTTTAATATTAAGATCAAATTTATAGTAATTTGAGGGCTAACTATTCACACTGTAAAGTTGGGGTCAAGTGACAGCAACAGTAGAGGATTGTTTAAGGCAAACCTGACTAGAAATGATTAGAAATTGTTACTTGTACTGTGGAGTCTTTCTTTCTGTGATAGAAAACAATTGTATTCTAAACTTCTATTCTAGACCATGATTGAAGCCCATGTTGATGTCAAAACTACCGATGGCTATCTACTGCGCCTCTTTTGTGTGGGTTTCACAAAGAAGCGTAATAACCAGATTCGCAAAACCTCATATGCTCAGCACCAGCAGGTTCGCCAAATTCGCAAGAAGATGATGGAAATCATGACCCGGGAGGTGCAAACTAATGACCTGAAAGAAGTTGTCAATAAGCTGTATGTCTTGGTTATCTTTTATCAAACTTTTTTTATTATTTATTAAGCTAGTTTAAATTTCTGTGGGGATAGTACTGTCACTGTAAGCGTTTTTTAAGCACATATATAGACAATAAGGTGAAGTATCTGATTTCTAGAGTATCTGGATGTACTAATTAATTGATAATTAAGTACAGATGATGGAGATTACTGACACGAATGAATGTATGTGATTGTAAGGTGTGAAGGTATGCTGGTGTTGAGAGTAGTAAATACTGAATAATTTGAACTTGTGTATAATGATCAGGCAGTTGAATTATCCCACAAAAATCTAATATTGAACATTGAATATTGAATATTGGATTAATTTTCAGGATCCCAGACAGCATTGGCAAAGACATAGAAAAGGCTTGTCAGTCCATTTACCCTCTTCATGATGTATATGTCCGCAAAGTGAAGATGCTTAAGAAACCCAAGTTTGAATGTGAGTTAATTTTTGCTTAAATGTTGAGTTTTGAGTGATACACTTAGTTTACAGCAATATTTTCAAAGCATGTTTGGTGATATTTTTTTTTCACCTGGGGGAGCCTTCTGAAACCAATATTGCATGTTTGAATGCTTAAGACAAATAGCTTATCCTAACAATCTGAGACTTCAGTAACAAATATGAATTTCTGTAAATGATATATTGTTTTGGAATATTGTTCCTTTCAGTTTTTTGTTTTTGTTTTTTTTAAAGCAAGAAGTAACTAAATGCTTGGCTTTGACTTGGGAATGAATGATGACAACGTGTTTCGGTCCCATATGAACACCGAATGATTATGCTCTTATCCCACTTTCTGACATTCCCATGTAATGCAGAACTGAGTAGTTAATGGCATATTTGGAAGACTTAATTTGTTCAATTACTCAAGTCTCCTACACTTCACTTTTCAGACACTCTTTGCTTTCATGTCTTTGTCTAAATACAAAAGTTAATTAAATCAGTGGAAGCTCCTTGTGTTGGCATTGTTAAATGCTTTATTGAGATAGTTGTGGTACACTTTACAAAAATCATTAATTGCAGTATTATGCTTTTTTTTTTTTTTTTTAGTGGGCAAGCTGATGGAACTGCATGGTGAAGGTGGTGGCACTGGAAAACCTTCTGGGGATGAAACAGGCGCTAAAGTAGAGCGAGCCGATGGATATGAGCCCCCTGTACAAGAGTCTGTCTAGAATGAAAAATGAATGCAAAAAATAAAAATTTTAATATACAGTAATAGTAGTATTTGGTTCCATGCAGTAATACTAGACACACTATATGTAGTCTAAGATACTTTACTCTTACTTTTTTTAGATCTTCCATATGTTGCTATTGCTTCACGTGCTAAAATTGTGAGTTGATATGGAGTATGCCTCTTCATTGATCACTGTTATGTGAAGGCAGGTTGCTTGTCCTTTATGAAGTTATTTAAAAATACATACTAGATTGAGCTTCAAAGAATTGAGCATCTAAAACCCAAAACCTCTTCTAATGAGATCTTTAAGTAAAAAGGCTTATTGTATCTATAACCAGAATATGTAGCATTGGTTACAAGTATTAATTCACACTTAATAGTACCTTTCTTCTCAATGCTATCTGAAATGGCATCTAGACACCCGGTGAATAGTGGGGTGCACAGGTTGGGGAGAAGGTAGGAAATATTGTCCAAAGACTTGAATTTTCATGGCATCTTTAAAAGTTCACATAGAATAGATGTGGCTCTTGTTTTAGATCTTATTCGTGTTCCTTTTAGGGACTAAATTTATCCTTTTGGTAATATTTTACAATGACTTTTTCCAATAGGCAGTGTTGGTGTCTGATGCCCAAACAGCATGTTAACACAACTGTTCTATTATGGAAACAGTCTTAATGAAAATATAATCTGTTTTCAAGGGAATAACATATAATAGAGATTTCTCACTTTATCCCATTACAAGAACTAGTACTAGTCACAATGTCAGTTCACAAATACCATGCAGTGCAGATGCCATTGTATGAAATAAATTTAAAGCAGAAATACTTTAGTAATAACAAGATGCGAAGAAAACTTGCGAACTCTACAAATGAGTCTTTTCCATTAATTCCACTATTTTATTCTGAAGGATTATATAATACTAATTTAGCTTTCCTCACATGAGAGATGTGTTGTAAAGGCTGTGAAAGAAGAGCTTTTCCAAATCCTTCAGCCTTATGCTGTTATCTGATAATGTGCTCTGATTTCCAGCACTTTGCTTAAATAGTAGAATTGTTTAGTAGTGGTACACTAAAAATAACTTCTTAAATACATCTAGGGTTTTCTCTAGTGAAATATGTCTAAAGTTACATAACTTGCTATAACTGCAAGCAGCTTAGACCGAAAGTTAGGAGGCCAGGCTGCTAGATGTGGTTTACCAGCCTTGTATTCCAAAATTTTGTTTTTTAAAATTTTGAAAATAAATTAGTTCTGTGTGATAGTAAAATCTTCCAATTTCTTAATATACAAGATTTTAAACTTGAGCATTTAAATATCCACAAATTAGCACCAAAAAATCCAGATCTTTTCTGTTGATATTAATCTTAAAAAGTTTAATCTGGTTTAACCTTTATCTCTGTTTATAAATTACTTTAATTCAAATCAGTATTTTTCAGTATCTAGTCTGGAGTGCACGTATGATACTAAAAACCAAGTGGAATTAGGATTTGGCAAAAGAGCCAGTTTCTGGCTTAGTGGACAGGTGTGTTTCTGTTTTTTGTTTATAGCTGCTTGTGATCGAACTGGAAAGTCAAGGCAAGTGATCACTTGTTGGCAGAGAAACGTGCTGTTTCTTCAAAGGGGAAGGAAAGTGGCTCGAGATCCTGAAAGGATATGGTCACCCTCTGGATAATATTGCAAATGGGTCTGACGCAAATATGTCCAAGAGGATGAGGTGGAATTGTTTCTTGGGAATTCATCCCCTGAATAGAGGGCTGTAGATACTTTTGCCATTGGAATTATAGTATGTCTAAATATATCCCATTTGGCCTGGCTAGCTGGTTCTAGATAGCATTATGGTCTAGTGGACAGAAAAATTGATTGAGACTCAGGAGACCTGTGTTTTATTCTTAGTTCAGCTCTGGGTGATGTTGGATAGGTCACGTCCCTTGTGCTTCCATTTTCCTATCTGTAAAATGGGAATAATAATGCTTAACTCTGAAATGCTTTGTGGAAAAGTGCTAGATGGGAGCTGGATGGCATTATGCATTAATATTACCACTATTACTCAAGGTTGTTTAGTCTAATAATTCACCTATAATTCTGGTGCTATGTACAACACCTTTCTGATCAGATTTTTATACTGTTCTCATAAACAGTGTGTGTGTTCCAAATGTTGATATAGGTCTACACTTAAACTTACAACAGAAATAATCAACTCTGTTCTAGTTTTCGCTTCTTTCACTTAGGGCACTTCATAGTAAGTAGCCAATGTCGTTTGTGCTTGAGTTGATAAAATATTACTTGTTGGTACTTCATAAGAGTTAAGAGGGAGTGATTTTTTTTTCCAGTTGATTATAATAGTCCAATTTTGTCAATTGGCCTAATTCATATGTGGGTGTAGCTAAACTTAATATTTTTTTTCAGTAAGACATAATTCATACCATACTGTATCAGAGGTAGCCTCTGAAGTTAGTCTGTAACTGAAAAAAGCAAGCAATGAATACTCCTGCAGCATCTTAGAGACTAACAAAAATGTAGATAACGTAAAAAACAACAAATAGTCTAGCAGCACTTTAAAGATTCACAAAACATGTAGATGGTATTTTGAGCTTTCGTGAGCACAACCCACTTCAGATGAAAGATGTCTCGAAGGTGCTGCAGAACCATTCATTGTTTAAATATTTACATTCTGTACATGTGAGTTAACTGACCTCTAGGAATTACAAAATACTTGAGCATATGAACATTGAATTTTGCTTTGGCTTCCTTGCTGATGGGTCCAACCAAGCTCAGTTTTTCCTAAAGTAAGCATTGCAGGTGCTACTGAATTTAGAGAAAGCCCAATACTGGATTTGGCAGACACTTAAACAAATGCGGAATGTGGGTGGAAATGTAGGTTTCCCTCATGCTACGGAGACTAGGCTGCACATGTATTAACATCAAATTACAGAAGACAATCAAGTAACATGAGCAGAGAAACTAAGGTCAGGTCCAAACTATAAAGTTGCACAGGGGTGTGAAAAATCACCCCTGAGCAATGCAATTATGTTAATCTAAATGTACTGTAAACACTGCTATATGGATGGGAGGACTGTCTCCTGGAGATGGATAAACTGCTGACAGAAGATATAGTAGCAACTTCACTGGATCCTTACATCACACAGCTGCATGGTTTTAATGTAGATATGCACTACATGTTTTCCTCTTTAAGATGTTAAAATATAAATAAGCATCATCTTGCATAGAAGAGTACAACTAATATATTCTCTGGTTGTATCAGTTAAGCTTGTTGAATTTTCAGCTTACAACAGCCTACCGTGTAAAATTTATTTTCCATGTAGATACTAAGATTGCGATCAAATCACCCTTCAGCTTTTTCTTTGAGTTCCTTGTGTCACTATATTTAGTTCAATCTGACACTCACTTTTTTTTTTTATTCATTCAATCATTCTAATGGTTCTTCTATGAACCCTCTGCAATTTATCAACATCCTTGAACTGAAACAGGCACTGGACAAAGGCTTCTAGCAGTGGTGGTGCCAGTGCCAGTACAGCGGTAAAATAATCTTTACTATTTTATTCCCGTTTTATGCATCTGAGGATCACATAGACCGTTTTGGCCACATTGTTCTGAAAACTCATTTTCAGCTAACTATCCAGCCTGACCCAAAGTCTTTCAGATTAATTACATCTCAGGATAGATAGTCCCTTGTTTGGTAAGTATGAGGAACAAAAATGCAGCCCAATCTTAATATGGATCTATTTAAAAAGTTTGTCTGTGCCTTTACACAATGACTCAGGTCACTCTGTATCAATGGACCTGGTCTCTCAATTATCACTCAGTTTTTTTGCTTCCTATTCACTTCTAGCTCAATTTTGGACACAATTCAAGGTGTAAGTCTCTAAAAAGCTTGAGCTAGGGTTCCATTGATGACATGGGGGCAGAGGACAGGAAAGAGAGTGGCTACATCCCATGATGAAGGAACAGTTCTTGCCCATACATGAGGGCAGTGTCTAGACTGGCAAGTTTTTCGGCAAAAGCAGCTGCTTTTGCGGAAAAACTTGCCAGCTGTCTACACTGGCCGCTTGAATTTCCGCAAGAACACTGACTTCCTACTGTCTGAAATCAGTGCTTCTTGCCGAAATACTATGCTGCTCCCATTCGGGCAAAAGCTTTTGTGCAAAAGGGCCACTGTAAGACAGCTCAGATTTGTTTTGCACAAAAAAGCCCCGATCGTGAAAATGGCGATCGGGGCTTTTTTGCGGAAAAGCGAGTCTAGATTGGCACGGACGCTTTTCTGCAAAAAGTGCTTTTGCGTCCATGCCAGTCTAGATGCTCTTTTCCACAAATGCTTTTAACTGAAAACTTTTCCGTTAAAAGTATTTGCGGAAAATCATGCCAGTCTAGATGTAGCCAAGGAGGATAGGAGACAGAGATAGTTATGTAAGCAAAGCTTGGTAGAATCACAGCACCAGGAACTTTAACACATGGGGGAGAGAGAGGGAGACACTGGAAGCCCATAGGAAGGGAAGAGAGAAGAGGGACATCAGCTTCCTTTTGGACACAACAAAGCTAAGCATGTAGGAGAGCTTCCTACCTCCTGAAGCACTGCTATTGAACTTTGGAAACAACACTGTAGACATCCATCACT